AAAAAATGCACATTTAAGGGGCTCCTCTTTTGGTGAAAGTTTTTAGACCGCTTTCAAAATGGCCGCCAGACAGTGTGAACACATGGAGACTCATATCTCAGTGCGCACTGATCTGATTGACTTGAAATTACAGGAGGTATATAGTAACAAACGCATCAATTGTTTAAGGCATCAAGTAGGATAATACATTATTTTTTCTTTTTGTAATCTGATGTAGGATATCAGACCGAATCAGACAATCTAAGATTTGGTCAAAACCGAGTTGAGGCACGAGGAGTCACAAAAATTCCACAGAGGCCCAAGACAACAGGATGTCATAAATCTGTGTATATATATATATATATATATATATATATATATATATTTATTTATTTTTATTTTTTATTTTTTTTGTGAAAAAAACGTAATGGTTCTTGTTGATATTGAAGTCAGCATCATCAAAAAAGCTAATATTAGTCTATTTTGTCTAACTTGAGACATTATGTAACTCCTTTTCAAAAAGGCATGTTAAAGTAATATTCTAACACAACACTCAAGTGCAAGATCTCTCAGAGTTCATATTGTACTGTCGGCACAATTATAAGTGCAGATTAAAAATCAATCTGCTTCTGGTTGTAAGTTAAATAATGATTTCAAAAGATTTTTATGATGTATGTTGTACAGAATCATGTGAACCTGGTGCACCGGAAGGGCAGGACCAAAGTCTGTCCTCATCCAGGCTGCGGGAAGAAGTTTTATCTCTCCAACCATCTTCATCGGCACATGATCATACACTCAGGTACGGTCATCAATTATTACATGTGCGTACGTTGGTATCACTGCTGGACTGTTATCGTTTTTAACATACATTCATTTTATTTTTCTCGTTCCACTTTAATTTTATTTAAAATTGTTGCATTTTTGTAATTTTTTTTAAATTTGCCTATATATTTTATAAATTTTCATTTATTCGTTTTAGTTATTGTTATTAAAAATATGTTTTTGTTATTTTATTGCTGCAGGTTCAGTGTTTTTAGTTTTTATAATAATTTAACTGTTTTACGGCTGTCAAAGTAAATTTACCAGCATTGCATTTCTCACAGCTGTCTAGTGACGTTTTCAATTTAATTAAGGCAGGTTATAAAATGTTGAACTTTTACAATATACTGTCTGACCAAACCAAAAATGTATTCATAATTTACTTCATGTGTAGTTTATCTGTATTTGTTTTATATGTATCATTTTCATTTGTTGAGTTTTTGGAAATGTGCTTTAGTACAAAAATATTTTCAAAAATGTTTCAAAACATTTACAAAAATGTTTTCATTAATGATGATGCACTATAAAAATTATAATATAAAAAGAATTTGTGTTTTTTGTTAATTCACTAGTGATATATTTGTGTGTGTGTGTGTGTATATATATATATATATATATATATATATATATATATATTCATTTTTATTCTCTTTTCATTCTTTTTTGATTACAAAAAAATATTTCAAGGCATTTACAATACTGTGCTCATTGTAGTTTTCATTATTGATAACAACACTGGTTTGCACACATTATTAATCGTGAAGTGATAATATAAAAATAATTTAAATGTTACTTAAATTGCTTCTTTCATTGCTTTTTTGTTTTTTAAATCAACTAATTCTATTTATCAGTAATTAGAAACCTATTTTTGCGTTCTTTCATGCAGGTGTGCGAGACTTTATCTGTGAAACGTGTGGCAAGTCGTTTAAACGCAAGAATCACTTAGAGGTGCACAGACGAACACACACGGGAGAAACGCCGTTACAGTGAGTTCAGTGAGACGACCACGATTCTTATAGCCACATCTGCCATATTTAATACATGTCACTTCATAAGTGTTTTTCTCGAACCCGTCCTTTCAGATGTGAGATATGTGGGTATCAGTGTCGACAGCGAGCGTCACTCAACTGGCACATGAGGAAACACACTTCTGAAGCGCATTTCAACTACACGTGCGAACACTGTGGCAAACGCTTCGAGAAACTCGACAGCGTCAAGTTCCACAAACTCAAGAGCCATCCAGACAAACAGCCCACCTGAAAGACACTTAAAGAAAAAAATTATGGGTATGTAAAAAGTTTTATTAAACCTGTGGAACAAAGTGTTTATTTAGCAGTAAATGCATTTTGTGCACTTTTAGGTGTATTTTTGAGGGGAAAAAATCTTTTTGTAAAAATCAAGACCTGGTATTGACCTAAAATATGCTTGATAGATACTCAAATAGAGGAGAAAAGGACATGCAAAAAACACACAGAGAGACATTGATCGAGAGAACCAAAACAGTTTTGTTGTCTGTCTAAATTGTGTTTTTAGTTCATTCCTGTGCTGGACACAGAAAAACAAAGCTGTACTTCTGCTGACACTGTATGAACAAATATGTTAATGTTTACACCAGCTTTTTTTTCGTAATCATATGATCCAAATCATGGTGAAATAATTAAAGTATGTCTGCTGTGTCTTGCAGAAACATATACTGCTTTATTACAACTGCAATGTATTTACATTGCCTTGTCCAAACCACATTTTATTCTATTTTTTACTTCTGTCGATTTATAACTTAAGCTACAATGCAGCTTTGATGCTTGAACACTTACCCCATATACTTAAATCCTAAGCACATAACTATCAACACATTCATGTTTTACTAAATGTATCCATTGATATCAGGCCTTTTGTGATCCTGGATGAAGATGAGTTTGTGTCTTCATTAGAACAGATTTGGAAAAATGTAGCATTACATCACTTGCTCGCCATTGGATCCTCTGCAGTGAATGGGTGCCGTCAGAATGAGAGTCCAAACAGCTGATAAAAACATCACCGTAATCTGTAATAATGTTTCTGCCAGTAATAAAGTTCATCTCCTGTTTTCCTCTCACATAAACATCCACCAACGTATTTGTTTAGAACTGTTTTGGACTGTTGCTTGTAAACCGTGCATATTTATCTCCTGATTCAGACGTGATGGGTTTTTCACTTGAAGAAACAATATTATGGATTTTGGACTTGTATATTAGCCGGAAGCAACGGTTTAAAATGAAAAACATTTTACTGATGGATGGACAAACACGCAGCTTTTTACTTCACAAGACATTAACTGATGGACTGGAGTGGTGTGGATTACATGTGGGTTATTGTGATGTTTTTATCAGCTGTTTGGACTCTCATTCTGACGGCACCCATTCACTGCAGTGGATACTTTGGTGAGTAGTCAAGATGGTGTAGTCAAGAAACAAGCTCATCTATATCTTGGCCTGATTTTCTGAAATTTGCTGAAAACCTGAATTTTCAGCAAGTTAAAATTTTTCCGGTGAACTAATTTATTTTCTTCTATTTAACTCAGAATTTTCCAAGCTTTTAGAATTTTGGTAAGCTGAAATTCTAACCAAGGGGACATTATTTCCTTCAAGGTTCAGCATGGTTCAATATATACTTGTCAACATATACATATACTACTTATGTATAAATACATGATTATATTTGTAGATTCTTAGTTGGTGGTGTTGATAATATCAACCTTTCCTCCTGCTTTTTTTCTCTTTCAGTTCGTTAGGATGTCAACGATCGTATTTCACCTACCTGAAGCTATTTTAAATGCAAATGTCTACATGTAAACATTCCAAAAATACAACAAATTCACAATTGGTCAGAATATGTGCACTAAAACAAGTCAATTGTGCGGATGGAACCTGGCAGTATTATCTAAATTAAAAAATCATTTCACTTTTATGCTTCTTGGTCCATGAAAAGTGGGAACCCTGTGATGCTGATCATCAGTAATAATTCAATCGCGAGAATGGCTCTGAATCTGAACTGCACAGGGAAGTGTTATTGAATACTTCAGCTCTAAAAAAAGTTCCCCTTGTGCCATGTTCATTTGCATTTCTTTTTTTGTTGTTGTTGTAGTTCTTAATGTAAATGTCCTGTTTTTATCATTTGTACATCATGCTGTTGCTACATTTTTCAAGTTCCTGGATTAAAGGGGTCATATGATGCTCTTTTAAAGATCATTATTTGGTGTAACAGAATATGTTGACATGCTTTAATGTTCAAAAAACACATTATTTTTCAAATACTGTACACTATTGTAGGTCCTCTATGCCCCGCCTCTCTCAAACGCTTCGTTTTCTACAAAGTCCCTCCTTCCGACAAGCGTAGTCTGCTCTGATTGGCCAGCTGACCCAGTGCATTGTGATTGGCCGAACCCCACAAGCACTCGTCGGAAATGTAACGCCCCTTACCATAATCGCCAGCTTCATCTTTCAAAATAAATGTAAAGACAGAGCCCGAAAGGGGAACAGAGTCGTGTGACAGACACAGTGATGAAGCTGGGGTGTGTTTGCAGTACACAAGCCACGGTTAAGACAGCTGACTCCACTGTGATGTGTCCCTTTCTCTCTCTCCCTCTCTCGCTCGCTCTCTCTCTCTCTCGCGCTCTCTCTCTCTCGCTCATTACGCAAATATTTCCACATAGTGAGGTAGATATGTGGGGGCGTGTTAGAACGA